CAAATCCACGTCCATCAACCTCAACTCTCTTCTCCTCTCTCTCCCTCCGATGCGGACAGTCCGTCGTCACGCACCAACCCACGAAGTTGTCACCCCGCTTAGTCCTCCCGCACCCGTCGGATTCGCCCATGCCCACAGTCCGTCGTGGCCCACGCCAATCCCGCGCCTTTGGCACCAGCCCGTCGGGTCGCCCAACTCCAACTCCACTCATCTCTTACTTCGCTCGTGTGCCGACACTTCCTGATCGCGCAACCCCGAGCTTCCAACAACGGGTTAAGAGAGCTGACTAATCGCGCAGCCGAAATTTATAGCGTGCATGCATGCGCGAAGAACACGGAATTACTAGGACTTAGAGTCAGGATTAGAGAGGGAGCGCCTACGTTCTGCATGATCGGTCGCGGCGTGGGGGACGTAACCCTTCTTCACGCATCGATCCGAGCATGCAAGCCGCGACTTTCAAAATTTCAGCAAAGAAAAGAGGGGGAGGGCGGGAAAGACGAAGTGCATGAAGAAAGATACAGTTACAATGGCGCCTGCCCAAAATTATAGTTACACACGAGATTAAGGGCGCCTCCTATTCAGAGTACCGTTGTAGCCGCATGAGAAGCGCGTAAACAAAAGGCGCCGCGCGGCAGAAAAAATCCTAATTACTAAATTCCTAAATTCCTATCTAATGCGAAAAAGCAAAAAGAAGCACGAATTCAGAAGGAAAGTCCGAAATTCCGAGAGCTATTGGGGGCTCGACAAAATTCAAAAGAAAATTCAAAAAGGAACAAAGCAATTTCCCGCGCGGTGTCCGCAAACCGAAACAAAAGAAACGACGTCAACATTTATTAATCGCACGTGCGTGTGGCAACACGCCAAACAACCATCCGACCAATCAATCCCCCCGGCCTTCCCAAGACACACCTGGCTCCGAACCCGATCATCCGACACGAAGCGACGAAAAAGGACGAAAAAGCGAGGACACTGATGCAATTCTCCACCGATCCCGATCTCCCGTAATTGGTCCAATCTTCCCAGCTTAGGACCCCTCATTGCAACCGCGCAGAAAATCGCGCGTTATAAAAAGTGGTTCGTCACATCTGCTCCGGCCAGCGTCGACTGAGTACCAGCTCGCCAATAGACACTAGAGTGTCGTCCACCCTCGACAACTCCTCAAGTTTGCTTTTCACCGATTCTCTCTTTCCTCCCGGCCAGTAGCGTTCTCACTGCCCCTTGTCACACTCCCACAGTTCAAGGTGGCACCTCGACTAGTAGTTCCGTGGACTTCACTATGAGCTACTCTAAATTACTTCCCTTTTCTGTTGGTGAATTTGGGCAAGAGTCTTCACAGAACAACAGACCTATCGACTACATACCTGACCCACAATGGTTCCCTCAATTCTATCTGGGCAAGCTTCTCAACCTTACTGCCCAAAGCATTGTAAAGAGCCTGAGCTGCCGAGACAGGTTTCCCACCACGCACCCAATGGATACACCTCAAGTTTGCTCTTCACCGGTTCTCTCTTTCCTCCGTACCAGTAGCGTTCCCACTGCCCCTAGTGCCGCTCTCACTGCTCAAGGTGGCACCGCTACTGGTGGCTCCATAAGTTTCACCCTGAACCACTCAAGAATTACTTCCTCTCTCATCTTTAAGCTGCTGCAACAGCGTTAATCGATCGTGGCATTTACTAACACCTAATCAACCAGCTTACTGCATGATCATACTGCGATGACCCATTATTGTCTCCATTCCAGTACGTGTTTCTAACTACGAAACATTATAGGCAAAATATGTATCAACGCCAGGGGAGAATTTTACTGCCCAGGAAATTCAAGTGACAGCAACCTCAATCATTACCCTAATTAAAAATACAACAGAGAAAACAAAGTTTCTATCAGCGTAAGAAACCACACAGCCCTCAAATCTAACAAACTATGTCCAGTGGATGCATGATGCCAGGGGATCAAACTACCCATTAGCAATGGATACAGCCAGGTACTAAGCGTAAGAATTTAAGTGAAAGCCAGTGAATGCACATGATGCCAGGGGATCTAACTACTCATTAGCAATGGATACGGCCAGGTACTAAACATAAGAAAGCAAAAGCCAATGAATGCATCTGTCTACCAGCACCAAAAGCAGAGCCTCAAAGCTCCAGATCTTCCACGAGATCCCATGCCGAGATTGGCGCTCTTGTTCTGAAATCTTCCGGCACGCTCCCACCCTTGCTGCAGGCTCTCTCACTGCCCGCCTCAACGCCGTCACGGATCATTCTTCCAGTACTTGCACTTGTAGCTCTCGGTCCGCCGCTCCCAGCGGTTTTCTGTGCCTGAGACTCGGGCCTGCTTTCGCGGGCACGAGTAATCAACATGAGGTTGCAGTAACCGATATTAGGGTTTGAAGAGAAAACATTTCGATAATTACCAAGGATAGAAAATTAGTAAAGTGAGAGGTGGGACAGAGGAGGAAGTCGCCTGGGCCCCCTATCCTCGAGTGCAAAGGCACTCCCTCTCCACTCAAGGAGAGCTTCGGATATGAGCAACCGAGGACATTGCTCAGCTATGTCCTCTTCCAGTCAAGACGCGAGTCTTTCCATACCGCGTGACCACAGGACTTCGACTAGTGTGCTTTCCCGCCAAGCGTCGGCCGTGGAGCACTAGCAAACGCTTACCGAAAGCTTACCGGTTCCCCTCCGGGGGCAAGGTCCCACTTGCGCAAGTTAGGAGATTTCGGCCGTTGATCTTTGCAATCTACGCTCTTAATTCGTGCAAGTGGGACCTAGCCCCGGTTGGCTCCGCTTCCCTCGTATTAGAGAGCGAGAGCGTGACTTTAGGGCAAGGGGCAAACATGCCCTTGCCCCTTTCCAACGACCGAGAGAGGTAACCTCCCTTCACCGAAGAGAGGCAGAAAGCTTTGCTTGCAGGGGTCCCCTGTATAGCCTTAGGAGTAGTGGTAGGTAATGAAAAGACAGATATGTGAGGTGAGAGAAAAATATATGGCTGTCCCCCGATGATGAGAAGGCAGCTTTAATAAAAAAGACTTTTTCCCCCCCCAACAAAAAAAAAAAAAAAAAAAAAAAAAAAAAAAAAAAAAGGAGAGACCCCCCCCACAAAAAAAAAAAAAAAAAAAAAAAAAAAAAAAAAAAAAAAAACGAGAGTGACCCTTCGCCCAAACACGGAACGATACACCGCCATGAACTTTGTCTTTTGTGCATGTCGAGAGTAGTGGAGCGAGGCCCACCACTCGCGACGTACAGAAAGGGCCAAAACAAAAAAAACAGAGGCTGTGCTATGACAGAAGATTCAGTTCAGTTTCTCCACATTTGGCCGGTGGTGGAGAGAGCGCCACAAGGCAAGTAACAAAAAAACAAAAAAAACGGAGGCTGTGCTATGACAGAAGATTAATTTCAGTTTCTCCACATTTGGCGGGTGGTGGAGAGAGCGCCACAAGGCAAGTAACACGCGCGGCTCCACATCTCTCCAAATGTGCATAATGAAACGAATTTTCCGCGGGAACATGGACAGGTGCACCACCTCCATACTTCTAGTTACTTGTGTGCGTCGTGTATCATATATATATATATTTTTTGTGTGTGTACTACGGCATTATTTGAAATCATTGGGTAATAAAAATAAAAAAAAATCATTGGGTGAAAAAAAAAAAAAACATACAAAAAAAGATCTTTTTTTTCTTTTTTTTTTGTGGAGGGGTGTACCACTGCTAGGCCCGCTGGTAGATGTTACATTTCCACGTTTTTTTTTCTCCTTTTTACGTGCCTCTGTTCCCGGCTAGAGATGTGTCGTGTGGAGTTGTCTGGGCCGAGGTCCCACTACCGTCTTCCCCCGAACACAACGCACCCTCATTTTGGCTGTATGTGGCCGGAAATATTACTCGTATACATTCATTTTTAGGGTGCGTTATGTTGGGGGAAGACGGTAGCAAAGAGGATTGGATTGAACCCCTTAATTTGGCGGTGTTTGTGGACAAGTGCAGAAAATCGAGAGTGAACTCCTTTTCTGCATCTCTGCCTAAAACACGTCCAGATTCAGGATATTTATCCAATCCTCTTTGCTAGTGGGACCTCGCCCCTGGTGGAGCCAGGGAGATTCGTCACCCCGGAGGTGTTACTGTTCCTTTTTCGTTGTAGCTACGTGGCCTCGCTCCACTTCTCTCGGATGTGCAAAACTGGGAATGCATCTTCGCCTAGAACATGGAAGTATGCACCGCCAAATTCTGGTCGTCTGGGCACGTGCAGAGTACTGGAACGAGGCCCATGGTTAGTTTTGCATTTACTGTTTGCAGTCTCCCCGTCAAATGCGGGTGGCTTAGAGACTCGCCACACAGGCTGTAGAAAACCCTGTTTTCGACAATTTTGCATAGCCACACAGACTTTCGAAGAATTGCGGCTCAAAAAACTTTCGACAGGTGTCAGAATGGTACTTTCGACAGCCGCCCTCCAGCAACCGTTTCCCTCCTGGTGACGGAATTTCGACAGACAGTGCCCGGCCGACCTTTCGAAAATTGCTTTCGCATTTGCGTTGTCAGGGACTCTTTTGTCAACTTCCGTGAAACCCGTCCGCCTGGCCATGACCAAAAACCTTGCCCCTCGTCAGCCTGTGTGGCGAAGGGGGGGTAAACTGTGGACGGCCGACTTTCGAACTGTTTCTGACACCTGTCGAAACGTTTTGAGTTTCGACAGCCTGTGTGGCTAGCCTCTTAGGGCCTTGCCACACCACTGTAGAAATGTGAAAAAGACAAAATTGAGTCGGATGAATCTGGCCATGCTGTAGCAGGAAGTTCATTCTCATTTTGCACATTTCGAGAGTGGTGTGGCCATGCCCTTACATCTGACGGGGAGACTGCAAACAGTAAATACAAAAGTAAGGGTCTGATCCCACCACTACACTACAGCCAGCTCCCTGAACATTGATTTTTTTTATTTTTTTTTTGAATTTGTTTGTTTGATCAGACATGTAATTGTGATGAGAATCAGCCGGAAGGGTTACCTACGAAGTATTAAACCACCAGTACTTGGCCCATATATCGGCCGCGGGCCTTAGCGTTAACGCTAGGCGAAGTTCGCGCTTCGGGCAACCGTACCTGGAAGGCTGGCGCCGCCAGCCTTTCTGAAAACCAAAATCGAATTGGCGCTTCGGCGGCACGCAGGGCACTTCCAGGCTCGGCTGCGATAGCTGGGCCAAGTACTGGTGGTTTAAATTTGGCAGGTAGAACTTGCACTGTAGCCTGAGTTGCTTGCCTACATGGCAGCCTACTTTAAGAGGCTCGCCACACAGGCTGTCGAAACTCAAAACGTTTCGACAGGTGTCAGAAACAATTCGAAAGTCGGCCGTCCACAGTTTACCCCCCCTTCGCCACACAGGCTGTTGAGGGGCAAGGTTTTTGGTCATGGCCAGGCGGACGGGTTTCACGGAAGTTGACAAAAGAGTCCCTGACAACGCAAATGCGAAAGCAATTTTTGAAAGGTCGGCCGGGCACTGTCTGTCGAAATTCCGTCACCAGGAGGGAAACGGTTGCTGGAGGGCGGCTGTCGAAAGTACCATTCTGACACCTGTCGAAAGTTTTTTGAGCCACAATTCTTCGAAAGTCTGTGTGGTGATGCGAAATTGTAGAAAACCGGGTTTTCAACAGCCTGTGTGGCGAGCCTCTAAGCCTACTAGATGAAGTGACAGTGGGCCTCGCTGTGTGTGTGTACTACGGCATTATTTGAAATCATTGGGTGTACTCAAGAGAGAGAGAGAGAGAGAGAGAGAGAGAGAGAGAGAGAGAGAGAGAGAGAGAGAGAGAGAGAGNAGAGAGAGAGAGAGAGAGAGAGAGAGAGAGAGAGAGAGAGAGAGAGAGAGAGAGAGATGGCGGGAGGAACTGAGTCTCCCCTTCTCACGTGGGTAGCCTGGTAGGGCCCGTTCAATTGTGGCTGGGGCGGTACCAGCCTCCAAGTCCAAGTGCCTGTTTGTGAAGCTCTTTTGCCTGGGACGAAACCTGTCAAAAGTGGAGCGGGTAACTCGATTGCAGTCTGAAACGCTGTGGTGGGACCTTTCTGCAAAGGCCGAGTTTGAACTGCATTTCAAACTCGTGCCTTGACTAGAGTGCATATTGG